ACTATTGTGGCTAAGTTTTGTCAAGAGACCATTTTGTCAAGTGACCACTTTGTTCAAACCAACCACTGAACATCTTTTTCTCCTATGCTAGAAATAAGTGGCCAGACAGACAAAATTATTTCCTCCTAGCTGATCACCAGAGAGCACATTACACAGGAGACTGAGGGATTCAAATAGCCACATTTAACGGTAAATTAACACCAGACCAACGTATTCCTTCAATGGATGTGAGATAGGTACATGAGTTTTCATACCAGTAAATGAATATTATGCCTTAATGCAGATCACGCCATTTTAAGAACAAATGTAATATACAGTTAGACCATGAACCTATATTCACAGCTAAGGTATCATTAGAGCCAGGAGGTCTAAGGCATTTATCATCAGGATACCTCATTGGTAAGTCTTTTTCAAGGTTAGTTCAGAACTTTCTCTAGATGTTCTCCATAGAGTTGGAGGCCTTAAGACCATCCTGTGTCACTAAGCTGATATGTAGCAATGTGTTGGCAAGCATACAGAGCCAAATGCCATAGAACCTTTTGTAAATTATTAATGCCTCTACCTCTGTCTGCCTGATTACAGAGATATAGCTGGTAACACATGCATTGAAGTGTTAGGTGGAAGATGCATGGAAAGGTTTGGTGCATAAAGAACATTTCCTAAACACTCTTCTCTCCTTCATTTGTGTAAGAAAGATAAGGAAGAGGGGACAGCTCTCATAGCTTCTACTATGGAAAAAAGTCACTCTATATGTATAATTTGTGTGTGTGTATGTGTGTGCGTGTGTGTGTGTGTGTGTGTGTGTGTGTGTGTTTGTGTAACCAGACCAGGGAGCCTTCTCCAGATTTAATGTATCAATACTTCCAATACAGTGAGACAAAGCTTCTGTTTGTATTTGCTTTTCTCTATTCATTATCAAAATTATCTGACCTCAGAGGACAACACTAAGCCCATGTTCTGTGGTGTGTCTAAGCTCTAGGATGTAATCCACAGTAGTTTCTCTTACCTTGAAATTTCACCAGAGCCTCAAAAATGTGTGACCCTGTTCATTCACTGGGGAAGCCTTCCTGGGGGCTGTCTAGAGTAAAAAGGAGGAGACTCCGTATATGAAAATAAAAATATGTATGGGCCAACTAGAAAGGATAGACTCTGGAGATGCTTCAAATTTACTTCTCTTTAATGGATACAGTAAGCTTATCCTAAGCCTACAATGATAGTGCTTTCTATATTAGCTGTCTTAGAGGTAGGTATCAAAGAATTGCTGCCAATGAATGAAGAAGTAGTGATTGATTCATAATAAGCATAACACCTTCAGATGGGAAAGGACCTCCATGGAACTTTTAATTAAAAAGCCAGTCTTCATGGGGGGAAACACGGAAGTTATCAGGAGTAAAAAGTGTAGGGAGAAAACAATACATTTCTGGTGTCCAGCTCTGGACTCCATTTGTGGAGAGGGGAATTCGCCTTCAAGAAGAGGCTCTAAAAAATAATCGGATTTCTGGAAGGCTCCTTAAGGTGTAACTTGGAACTCAAAAGAGTCGGTATATTTAACTTTATTCCTTGTCTATCACAAAGGATTAAAATGAAGTTAACGCCTAAACAACAATGCAAAGCTGGACATTGATGATCGTTGTGGCCTCTGCTCCTTCCTACAATTACAGCAGCTAGAGCTATCAGGGGCCAGTGAGCACTGTGGAGCCCTGCAGAAGACAAAACCCAGACTGATGCCCAACTCTTGTAATAAATCTCTTCTTTTCACAGGAGCTGGGATCCATCTTCTGCAGAGCTCAGCATTTGCCTGGGACTCTCTGACTTTTTTTTTTAGTATCACCACTGTCTTTGTTTTTGGTAAGGAAGAGAAACAGCATCTGTGACATAGGAACCTTGTATGGGAGGGCACCAAAGCTTTGAATAAGCAAACATGCTTGTAAAATGCATGTGACCTCCATCAGTCCAAGCATCATTTCTTTCTCCCAAATAACTCAGAAAAGCAACACCAGCCTGTATTCCTTTCTGAAGACAGTACCAATATTTTTATCCATTAATAATGAGATAATTCTTTAGTGAGTTCAATCCTTTCTTTTAAGCTACCGTAAACATGTGAATGTAGACTATCTAGTTATATACGGGGGGGGGGGAAGCAGTATTTTTAACTCTTTTATTCTTCACTGATGCAGTTTCCATGGAAACCATAACATTAAGCCAAGCAGTTACTTTGACATTACATAATACTGTCTAATGGTTAGTTACTCCTGAATAAGTGTGTTTATCCAGTAGCTTTTCGTCCATGTAATCAACCATATCTACCCTGATTAGATTAAATAGGGACCAGAGTCATGAAATCGTTTATTGCAGTGTGATTTGTGCCTGTTACTCATCTGGAAAATGACAGGCTGTGTTTGCCAAAGAAGAGGTGCCTGTGGAGTGTGCCTGTGAACTCAAGGGAAGATTCTAGAGCTGCTGAGACACACTGATTGTAGATTTGATACATTTAGATGAAGGGGATATGACATTGAAGACTAGAGCAGAGATATTCATGAAACAACCACAAGCATTTTGGTCCTCTGCTTCCTTTTAGCAAGAATGAGAGATAGTTGGCCCTGGCTCTCAGAGAACCTGAGCACATGAATAAAGCACTCAGGACAAAGCAGGACAAAGGATACATGCTATGGAAACTCTCCTTACATTTAGGACCAACAGTTTTCTCTACGTGAGCACTGGGGTTTGTTGCATGATTGTTGTCGATTGAAAAACTGGAGAACATGACAGGCCACCAATTCGCAGTGACTCTGCGCCTTTGTTTGGTTTATTTTTGTGCACTTCATGAGACTCTCCTTTGAGGCCTTCCATGACTCCTTTCTCATACACAACTTTCAAAAAACCCTTGTTATCCCCAACTTTACTGAAGTACGACAATTAAAAATTGTGTATGTTTAAAATGGATGACAAATTGATGATTGGATGCATTTTATACTGTGGATTAGCCTGCTTAGCTGACCTTGTTAGCATATCTATCCAAAAGCTTGAATGATTGCTTTATCTAAGGACACCTGAATATTTTATTCATTGTTTTCATTTACTTTCAGAAATTTTAGCTATTTTTCATTGAAGTAAAATAGTGCTCACCATAACTAATTCTTGAAGACAATGTTCTTTACATTATGAATACTTGGTTTCCTCAGGGATGAGAGGCATTAGCTAGAGTCCCTCTTCAGTTCCCTCTCTTTCCTCTTTCCTCTATCTTTTGACAATAATTAGTGAATTAAATAGACATTGAAAGGGTCTATTGGAAAATGAATGGAATCCAAAGACAAGCTTTTTAAAGTCACTTAAATATTTCTATAGATATGTAACCAATTTAATTAAGTTTCTGCTTACTCTTCTGTATGTTCTTATTGAAAATATAGTGATGATGTATATAGTTAATTTAGAATGAATATAGATAAACTAAAATTCCATTAAAGTCTTTCAAAATCCTCCTACTACAAACAATGAATTTCACTTGTTTTGGAGGGGTGGGGTATGAAAGGCTAGGACAATCTGCTGTTACTAAAGGAAGACCCTTTGTTTAGGGCCTGCAGCTCCTTTCTGGTAGCCGTTGATTCTTGCGCTACAAGCTTGGCAGTTTCTTATGGCAGTGTCCCTACCTTGTTTTGTTCTTTCTTGTAGTTCTTGCATAGAGAAAAGTGGGAAATTCACTTTTCCCAGGTTTCCAGTGGTTTCCTTTTCCCTGCCCTCTTTTCTCTTATGCTAGTGTAGGCTGGTTTAGCATACCTTCCTCTATTCTGTCATATTCTTCTTCTCCTTTCCTTCCTTGCCTTCTAGGCATCATGCCTTCCAATCCTATTCTTCTTTAGAAGAGCCAGATCCGCTGAGCTACCAAGTCATAAAATAGTTCCCACTGAATGCACCATTCTCACCTCCACCCAACCCAAGGGAACGTCCCCTATTCCTCACACAGGAAAATCTAGGCTATATGATTCAGTTATGCTACACATAAAAGACGTCATCATTAATTGCTGGCAAGTGTCCCTTCACTTATTGAACCAGTATTTAGAGGGCTGCTATCCTGCCAAGCCAGGCCAAGTCCACAAGAGGTCAATAAGACCCAATCTCAAAACTTTCCCTTCCTCTGGCTTGAATATTCTTACATCCTCACAACGTACCAAAATCTCAGACTCACTGTTCACATTTACTTTGTCAATTTGATTTTCCAAACTTGCGGTTTTATTGCATGAATAACTGAAATCTTTGGAAAATAAAAGCACATAGAATAGCAGAAAGATAATATTAAACAATTCACCTCTGTATTAAGCAGAAATTAACACAGTCCCGTTATAAGTATGTGTACATTAGACAGTAATACAAATCATCTTTAAATAGGATCATGGGTCTGGGAGATGGTCCAGTCAGTGAAGCCATAGCTACAAAGCCTGAGGACTTGAGTTCTGATCCCCAGTACCGACAGTAAAATGTTAGGTTTGATCCCACCAGGGGGAGGCGGAGACTTGTATCGCTTGAACGTGTTGGCTAACCAACCTAGCCAAATCAATGAATTCTAGATTCGGTGAAAGTCCATGTCTCAAATATAAGGTGGAGAGAATCTGAAGAAAAAAACAAAATGTTGACTACTGACTTCCAATATGGACAAAGAGAGAGGGGGATCACAGGACATCTGAGGTTTGTTTTCAGATGGTCTACAAGAATCACCATCAGCATCTGAATGGCTTCATCTCATAACCAAATAAAAGCTTGTCAATGAGGAGACACATAATACACCTGAATGAGGAGACGCACATATCCTTGTGTATGAGCAGACACATGTATGCACCACTGACTGGGAACAATCTTGGCCTTGAATTTACCATTGTGTTTTTCTTAGAATTGTTTCAATAGTGAAGTTTAGCTGATGTCTCTTATCTAGACACAAGAGCATAAATGGATACAAGGAGTTGATTCCCCAATGACCAGGGAACCCGAGGTACCTGGGGTGCTCTTAGCATTGTAGAACCTCCTGATTCACTCTGGGGGACACATCATAGCCACGTCCAAAGGAGGTAAGACCCCCTTTGCTGTGCACACCACTCTTTAAATAGTTTAAATAGCCACTACAGACAGCAGAGGTTCTTGAGTTGTGAGTGGGGAGTCCACGCATTTGAACAATGAAAACTATTTTCAACTTTGCGTGTGTCTCTTTCATAACCATTAACCTCTTTTTACAATGATGATGAATTACTGCCCCTACTACTACTGATGGCCTATCTTGAGCATGATTAATTAATTTCTTATTGGAACATAAAAGATCCTAAGCAAACTATCATTTGATTAAATCTACGGGGATATTAAAAATATGTCATCCTAGGAAGGCAAACAAAACACTGTGCTTTAAGTTCAGAAAGGAGCTTGCTGTGAGCCTTTCTCTTAATCCTGGGAAAGAATTTGATAAAATTCAGGGAAAGGCATTTGCTAAAATTCAGATCTATTCACGGTGAAACATTCAGTGTTCTAGTTACTATCTTCACTGACTGGACAAAATCTTGACAATTGCAACTTAATGAAGAGCAGGTTTATTTTGGCTCATGGTTTGAGTGAACAGTACACAATGATGGGAAAGGTGTGACCGTGGGAACTTAAAGCAGCTGCTCAGGAAGCAAAGAGAGGTCAATGCTGGGGCTCAGTTCCCTTTCTGCTTTCTATTCTGCCCAGGACTCCAACCTATGGGATGGCGCTGTCCATATTCAGGGTGCAACTTCTCTCTTCAGGTCACCCTATCTGGAAATATTCTTAGAGATTTTTCCCATGGGGAATCTAAGTTCCATCAAGTTAACTGTCAAAATTATCCACCATATTCAGTAATGTAGGAATAGAAGGAAACATTGACATGTTACTGAAAAGTGAAATACTAGGGCTGGAGAAACGATCAGGCAGTTAACAGCATTGTCTTCTCTTCCAGGTGATTCAGGTTCAATTCCCAGCACTCACATGGTGGCTTTCAACCACCTGTAACTCTTGCCCCAGTTGGATCCAATGCTCTCTTCTGGCATTTGTGGCCAGCAGACACCCCACATTGTGCACAGACTTTCTTTATCATGTTTTTTATTTAAATTAGAAACAACCTTGTTTCACATGTCAATCCCAGCTCCCTCTCCCTTCCTCCTCCCCCCACTTCCAACCCCCCAACCCCTGGCCCAATCTCCACTTCACTTCCCAGGGAGGTAAGGCCCTCCATGGGAGATTTCCAGAGTCTGTCATTTCATCTAGGACAAGGCTTAGCCTCCCCCCATGGGTCCAGGATGAGAGAGCATCTCTCCATGTGTAATGGGCTCCCAAAGTATGCCAGTGATAAAGACTGATCTAATACCCGAAGCCCCATAGTTTGCCAAGGCCTCCTCACTGACACCCAAATTTAGGGAGTCTGAATAAGTTCCATGCTGTCCTCTAAGCCATCAATCTAGGGTCCATGATCTCCGCCTTGTTCAGGTCAGATGTTTCTGTGGGTTTCTCCAGCCTGGTCTTGAACGCTTTCTCATCACTTCTCCCTCTCTGCAACTGGGTTCCAGGAATTCAGTTCAGTGTTTAGCTGTGGGTGTCTGCCTCTGCCCCCATCAGCCACGGGATGAAGGTTCCAGGATAGCATATAAGGTAGTCATCAATCTTTTCATGAGGGAGGGGCTATTAAGGTAGTCTCTCCACTACTGCTTAGTTAGCCAGTTGGTGTCATCCTTGCAGATCTTTGGAAATCTCACTAGTGCCAGATCTCTTCTCAAACCTGTAATGACTACCTCTATTATGGTATCTCTCATCCTGTTCTCCTCTGTTCTTGCCCTGACTCAACTTTCCTGCTCCCCATGTCTTCGTCTCCCTTCTTCTTCTTCCCCTCTCTTTTTCCCAGATCCCTCTCCCTTCCCCCCATGTTCCCAATCTGCTCAGGAGATCCTGTCCCATTCACCTTCTCTGGGGTACCATGCATCTCTCTCTTAGGGTCCTTCCTGTTTCCCACACTCTCTGGCAGTGGGTTTGTAGGCCGGAACTCCCCTCATCCATGCCTAAAATCCATATATGAATGAGTACATACCCTGCTTGTCTTTTGTGACTGGGTTACCTCACTCAGGATTGTTTCTTCTAGTGCAAACCATTTGCCTGCCAATTTCAAGATTCCATTGTTTTTTATAGCTGAGTAGTAATCCATTGTGTAAATGTATCACATTTTCTTTATCAACTCTTCAGTTGTGGGGCATCTAGGTTGCTTCCAGGTTCTGGCTATTACAAATAATGCTGCTATGAACATAGTGGAACAGATGTCCTTGTTGTATGAATGGGCATCTTTTGGGTATATGCCTAAGAGTGGAGTTGCTGGATCTTGTGGTAGACTGATTCCCATTTCCTGAGGAATCTCTATACTGATTTCCAAAGTGGCTGTACGAGTTAGCACTCCCACCAGCAGTGGAGGAGTGTTCTCCTTTCTCTACATCTCCAGCATAAGCTGTCATTGGTGTTTTTGATTTTAGCCATTTTGACAGGAGTAAGACGGTGTCTCAGAGTTGTTTTGATTTGCGTTTCCCTGATGGCTAAGGATGTTGAACACTTCCTTAAGTGTCTCACACTCCCCATCTGATAACTCCTATATATAGGTTCAAAATTAAAACTAAAGATGACTGATAATGATCCTAACTATGAAAGTAGGCTGGCAAGCTTCCTAGCCATTTAGTCTTAAATGTTGAAAAACAAGCAAACAACAAGACTGAGAGGCTTGCTTAAACATCACAGCTTTCCCCCGATATAACAAAAATAAAAACAGAAACATCCTTCATTAAAATAGGAAAACTTCTGAGAGTCACAAAAAATGTGAGCTCTCTCCAATGGCTCCTAATTATAAAATTCAGACAAGAGACATGCCTGTATCATTTTCTCATTACATGAGACTTTGTGGGTCAGTCAAAACCTTGCTTTTCTTGTGAAAACTACAGTTCATTTGTGTGCCTTGGGAGCTCATATACCTAAAGTGTCCTGTGCTTTTCCTTCAGCCTCACAAAATTCAAACTGGTCAGCAGGATTATAAATATAGGAGAAAAGGAACCCTTTCCACATGAAGACAAAATCATTAGAACACTTTATTAACCACAAAAGGACTCAGACCAGTAAACATAACAAATATGGGAGTCCTGTGACAAGCTAGCACAATTTGCATTATAGAGAAAATTTTGTATCAAATGTTTAATGTCACTAAATATCAATAATGTCATGCCCGAAAGAGAAATGCCTTGAATTTCTTGAATGTGAGACAACCCTCGGTAGCAAATTTATATCTTAGAATGCATCAGAGGGGGCCAGAGAGATGACTCAATTGTTAAGAGCACTGGCTGTTCTTCTAGAGGACCCAGGTTCAATTCCCAGCACCCACATGGCAGCTCGCAACTGTCTATAACTCCAGTTCCAGGGATCTGACACCTTCACACCAATGTACATAAAATAAGCAAGTTAAATAATTTTTTAAAAAGAATGCATCAGAGAACATATACAGGGCAAAAATCCTATGCATGTAAACAATGTGAGATGACATTATGCTCTAAGACAGAATTGCTACTCAGCAGTAATGACACTTGAGAGAAACTCTATGAATGGAATGATGGAGGAAATTCTTATTCCTGAAAGACACAACTCATCAGCTACCAAGCTACTCACACAAGTGGCAAACTATATGAATATAAAGTGTGTGGAGAAACTTTCCACCATAAATCATCCTTTACTATACTTGAAATCATGTAGAGCCAGGCGCATACACACACACACACACGCGCGCGTGCGCACACACGCGAATAGAAGTTTGTTGGACTGAGACTAGAGCTTAGTTAGTGTCTGCTCTGAAATTATAAGGCAGAATTATAAGTTTGAATCCCCATCGCCCATGTAAAGAGTCAAACATGACTCTGTTGGTATGTCTACCAGTCCAGCATTAGGAAGCAGAGAACTCAGGGGCTTGCCAGATAGCTGACATAAACAAAGAGTTTTCAGTTTGATGAGAGACCATATGTCAAGGCAACGAGTCAGACAGCCATAGAGGAAGGCACCTGATGTCCTGTTTTGGACTCTGAATGGGCATGCATGGATATATATACCACATATTAATGAGCATGCACAACACACACACACACACACACACAAATATCCCCTCACAAAGAATAGGAGTTTCCATAGAAATGAAATCAAGGTAGAAAACCAAGTCACAGCCTGATGGTCATAGAATCTGGCATAGAAACAAATTCACCCCACATATGTTTCTGCTTTTCTTTTTTCTTTTATTTTATTATAAATATGTTTTCTAATACAAAATATTTTGATTATAGTTTCCACTACCCCCTCGACTTCCCAAATCCTCCCCACCTTCCCTCTCATCCAGATCAACACCCTTTGTGTCTCTTCTTAGGGGAAAACAGGCATCTAAGGAATAATAATATAATAAAATAGAATACAATAAGATAGAACAAAAACAAAACAAATTGGAAAACAAACAAAAGAGACAAAGAAAAACCACAAGAAACACAAATAGATGCAGAGACATACACATTTACACAGGAATCCTGTAAAAACACAAAACCAGAAGCCATCATATATATACAAAGGACTTGGAAGATTAAAAACAAACAACAACAACAAAAAAAACCTGACACAACATTATGAGACAGAAAGCCTCCAAAGAAGGCTGTTGAGTTATTGTGTTGGCCATCTACTGCTAGGCATAGGGCTGTTGGAATAATCTTTTGTACACTGTGAAGATGTGTCACTCTGATTGTTCAATCCAAAGTTGAACAACCAATGTCAGAAGACTCAGAGCAAGCATGATGGGAAACAAGAAGAAGAAGTAATAAAGTCACAAGGCAAAAAGTAAATTAATAGAAATGGGTTAATTTAAGTTGTAAGAGCTAGTTAGAAACAAGCCTAAGCTATCAGCTAAGCTTTCATAATTAATAGTAAGTGTCCATGTCTTTATTTGGGAGCTGGCTGGTGGGACAGTGAAGGACTGGTTACATGTGACCTACCCTAAAGTGTAGTTTGTTTCCCCAGAGAGAATACCTTGGAGAAAACTAAGTTTTTATTTGCAAATGATTATCAGTTGGTGATAGCATCTGCATTAGGGATGGGTATGT